AAAAGGATTCAATACAAAGAAAATTCCTAAAGAAATATTTCCTGTATACGGAGGGAGGTGTTTGTCGCCTAAAGCGGTTCACAACTAGATCGATAAATTCTCTCAAGGACATCTGAAAGTCGCAAATCGTGCCCGACCAATTTGCCCTGTTGAAATTGTGCAGCAGGCGATGGTAAAGCGATGGGTGAAGCGTGGGTGTGTCGGGAAGTACGGAGCATTACATGTTTTACTTTTATATTAATTTGTGGTCTGTTTACTGACTCTCTCTCTCTTACATGAGGAGCTGGGTGATAAAAAGAATACCATGTCTGAGAGATATGAGTTTTACTGGTGGATTGTCATTCTTCTATAAGTTGTTGAAGTTGTGTATCTGTAAAGTGAAGGTGTCATGTTACTGCTACATGAGTTGGGCGCGTCTCGGTTACATACTTACGTGTATTCAAAATCATATCCAAATTATTTCGTTGATGTATCGAAGACCCCAAAATTATCGTTGTTACATATAACAGGGTGCAGAAATGAAAATTGTTTTACAAAATACACTCTAAACATTCTGCAGAAATAGCAAGAATGCCGACATTGACACACTGAGCAACCTGGCAAATTATATTAGCGAATCACTGTAGCGGTAAGGAGCCGTGTAACCGCGGCCGGCACATTTTCGGGTTTGTTTCGACAAATTCTGCTTGAACACTCGTGAAGCAGAATACGTCAAGCGAATCTTGAGCTGTTAACGGAAGTTCCGGCCGTTAGAGGCTTCTACTTCCTGTGAGTGTGGCCACAGAGGGTGACGTAATGTCCGGCAGACTGCAGAGTTTTCTTACCGAGTTGTGTTTGCTGCTACTGTTTAACGCGGAGAATCAATACGCACTCCATGTTGAGGGCAAAGTGTGATGGAGAGCAATGGCATGGGGGAACATGTCGCTTCAATATGTTTGATGGGCAGTGCTTCACTTTGCCCGCAGGACGATTCGTATAACTGAGCCCAGTACTCCACTTTAGTATCGGACACACAGACATTCAATTCAGTAAACCAATTAACCAATTATTTTGTTCAACCTTTGACCTTTGGTAGGAAATGTTTATCTCGGTTTGCCAGCTACGTGTATCGGGCTCCAAGGGAACTGCCCATTCTAGAAACCAAACCGTCGGAGTTTGCATCTGAGGTCCTGACAGAAGGGGCTGTATTCTGGGACGTAACGCTGTGTACTCCAGTAGAAGTGCACCAGCATTTCGGAGGAAAATACTGCCTCCATCTTCAATGATAAGGAATATACCAGGCAAACAGCAAGCAGAGAGAGAGAGAGAGCTTGTCTGGTCAACTTTCTCCTCGACCTTGAACGCTGAGGCAGTAATTTCCATCGAAAAGTTAGTGAGCTTACACCAGACTATACGGTTTCACATCCAGAATATAGTACTCTTCAATCAGAGAGGTATTAAATATATTAGAGAAATAGTTAATTACAAAATTGGTTTGTTCCGCCATCTCAGGAATATGTATCTATCTATCTACCCACCCACCTACCCACCTACCTATTTACATACCTATCTACCTACTTATCTATCTACCTACCTAACTACCCACCCACCTACCCACCCACCTATTTACCTACCTATCTACTTATCTATCTATCTATCTATCTACCCACCTACCCACCTATTTACCTACCTATCTACCTATCTAT